GACCAAGATAGGACCAAGACCGGGATCAGGACCAGGACCAATACAAGACCAAGGCAAGACCATGAAACCTTTTTCACCGTTTTGCCTGGAAAATCTATTCTAAAGACGTGACCAAGGCCAAAATGACAAGTGACATGTGAAAATTAGTGACAGAAATTATGTAACCGAGCTTTAATGAGTAGTTTTACATGAACATTTTAATCGTAACATTATTGTTACTGGACCAAACAAAGATGAAGGTCAACTAAAAGAGATAAAAACTGTCCCAGACTAAAACTCAGTGTCTTGGTCTCGGTTCTGTTCCTGGTCTTGGTCTTGGTCTTGGTCTAGGTTTCAAAAGTGGCTTCTGTCACATCTTTAGATCAGCACTCTCAGCCAGAAAATTCAATGGGGTCTTGTTTTCATATTTTCCTGGTTCTGGTCCTGGTCCTAGTCCTGGTCTTAGTCCTGGTTTTGGTCTTGGTCTCACATCTGTTTTCGGTTTCTGTCACATTTTTAGATCGATCCTCACAGCCAGAAAATTCTATGGGGTCTTGTTTTGATCTTTTCCTGGTCCTGGTCCTGGTCTTGGTCCTGGTCCTAGTCCTGGTCATGGTCCTGGTTTTGGTCTTGGTCTCACATCTATTTTTGGCTTCAGTCACATCTTTAGATCAACTTTCTCCGCCAGAAAATGTAATAAGGTCTTGTTTTGATCTTGTCCTGGGCCCTGGGCCTGGTCCCGGTCCCTGGTCCTGGTCTTGGTCCTGGTCCCGGTCCCTGGTCCTGGTCCCAGATCACGACTCCTTCTCCCTCTCACCGGACGGAGGTATTTTGAGCGTTTGGTGTGAGTCCAAAGCACCAGGCCTCACCGCAGGACGCCTCCATCTGCCTCAGTCCTTCTGTTTACGTCTCTCTCACCTTCATCTCTAACCTCCTTTGTTTACCGCCAAACGGGCGCCATGGCAACGCCCACAACGTTTTTATTGTTTTTATTGTTTTTATTGTCCACAGACACAGAAACAAAGACACATTAGTGACTGTTTTAAAGTTAGAAGCTGAAGAACAGATACTTTTGTTTCAACAGAAAGAATGTTGTTCTGTTTTTACCTGATCAGAAAATATGTTTTATCGTCTGTGTATTTTATTTATTTATTTATTTATTTATTTGATCGGGACAACACACATTAATGAACAATCATATACAGTTGTACACAGATTGTAAATGTGCCAGATTATAGCAAAACTGCTAATTTACATCTGTAGTCCCGAGGCAGGTCACACAAGTAAAACAATGTATGAACAAAACATACATACAAAACACAATATAAAAACTTTATAAATCACATTTTAGTTAAAATGAGTGCATGACTGATTTACTTTAATGTGATGTTTAAGTTGTTTCTTAAAGGAGCTGTATGTCGGGCATTCTCTTATGTCTGTAGGAAGGCTGTTCCAAGACTGGCCTCCTCTGACGGACAGCACAGTTTGTCCAAATGTTGTTTTTCTGTGTGGGATCTCCACATCTCCTCTGGAGGAGGCTCTGGTGCGGAGACCCCTCATTGCTTTAAGTTTAATGTAGTTACATAGTGGGGGCGGGGCAAGACCATGAAGTGCTTTGTAAACAAGGCAACAGTTTTTAAAATTTATAAAATTTCGAAAATTTAGCATTTTATATTTTTCCAGGATATTGCAGTGATGATATGACCAAGGCTTTTGATCCAGAATTTTTATGGACTTTTTGAAGAGGATTTCTATGGGTTTGATATTTGTTTCTCCAGTAAGTGACCAGGTTGTAATGCAGTACTCTATGTGTGAAAATATCATTGAGTGTAGAAACATCTTTGCTGAATCTGTTGTCATAAAGGGCCTGATTTGTTTGAAGTTCTGTAAATTTAACTTTATTGTATTCGCAGTGAGCTTAATGTGTTTTTTAAAGGAGAGTGTTGAATCCAGTGTGACCCCGAGATATTTGAACTCCTCAACAAAGTCAAGCTCAGTGTCTCCAAGGAACACATTGGACCGATCAAGTTTAATAGATTTTTTTGTGAATATCATTGACACGGTTTTCTTTTTATTTAATAGTAAGGATGAGTTGTTGAGCCACTGCTGTATGTCTGTCAGAGCTGCAGTGAGGGTAGATGATGCCTCCTCAGTTGTTTTAGCAGGAGTAAAAATTACAGCATCATCTGCATACATTTGAAAGTGGACATTTTGACAAACATTTGGCAGGTCATTGATATACACAGAAAAAAGTATAGGTCCTAATACAGAACCTTGTGGGACCCCTGCAGGGCATTCTAGAAATGATGACACGGTGCCACCCACATTCACACACTGTCTTCTATCAGACAAATAAGATGTAAACCAAGCAAGAGTGTCCTCGGCCAAGTTAAAGTGAGTCAATTTAGAAATAAGGGCTTCATGGTCTACTGTGTCAAATGCCTTCTTCAAATCTAAAAAGACTGCACCAACACAGGTGTTTTTGTCAAGCATAGATTTGACAGTTTCTACAAAAACACAATTGGCTGTTTCTGTGGAGTGGTTCTGGCGGAAGCCAAACTGCATGGGGTGCAGGGGGGAGTGGCCATGGCTGAGATGTTGGTTGAGCAGCTTAGCTACCCATTTTTCAGCTACTTTTGACACCACTGGTAGTATGCTAATGGGGCGATAATTTGATGTAAGAGTCTTGTCTCCAGATTTAAAAATAGGTGAGACAGTGGCCACCTTCCAGCCTGATGGAACAACTCCCTCACTGATTGATAAATTTATCAGATGAGTGAGCGGACGCACCAGTGTGTCCATGTGTGTTTTGAGAAAATGAGTGTCGATTCCGTACACGTCTTTTGCCTTTGAAGATTTAATGGACTTGATAATATTGGCCACGTCCCCGTCTGTGATTTGCTCAAGTCTAAGTACTGGTATTTCAGGATCAAGTGAATAATGAGCTGTTTGTGGTGGGCAGAATAATTGTTTTATTTCATTGACAGAATCAATAAAGAAATTATTAAATGTAGTGGCCAGTTTGTGCGGATCATTTATTAAGATATTATCAATATTTATTTCCATTTTAGGATTATATGATTTCTTTTGCGTTCCAATAAGTTTGTTAATATTTTGCCAAATAATTTTGCCATTTCCATTGGCACTTTGAATTATATTGACAAAAAAATTTGCTTTGGCCTTACGTAAGGCATGAGTAATCTTATTTCTCAAAGATGTAAATCTGAATCGGTCTGTAGTGAGACCAGATTCCAAAGATATTTTAAGTACAGCGTCTCTTTCTTTCATGAGAGCTTTACATTCATCGTTAAGCCAAGGTAGATGGTTAATTTTTTGTTTACCTTTTCCCCTTTTTATAAATGGTTCCATCACCTCTTTCATTTTAGAATTATATGATTGAGAGCAAATTTCAACATTATTCATTGTAAACAACTCGTCCCAATTTATTTCACTCAAAACTGTATTCAGATTTTGATTTTGAGATTTTGGAATAAAAGTACATTGACGTCTTAGGGTAGATATGTTGCCAAATCGTTTTTTACTCAGTTTTCTGGAGAAAAGTATAATATTGTGATCTGAAATGCCCGTAATAAAATTATATGTTTTAATAATTCTTTCAGAGCGGTTTGTGAATAGCAAATCAATTAGAGTTTCAGAATTATTTGTGATTCTTGTAGGATTTTTTATCATTTGTGTTAAATTATAGTAATGAACAATTTGTTTGAGATTTTTCCGCTCTTTTTTGTCATTCCAATTAACATTAAAATCACCAATTAAAATAGTTTCTTTGATTGTGTCACAGTGATTAAGGAGAAGTTTAAGCTGTTCGTAAAAATCTACTTTTGCACTCGGTTTTCTATATATACATATTATATTAAAGGACATTGTAGGAGAGAGTAATATATGTACACCAACACATTCTAAAGTAATTTCACTGGGCAAATAAATCATTGTGCATTTAAGAGTGCTCTTGACATACAACAACACTCCACCGCCCCTCCCTTGGTCTCTGTCTTTTCTGAATACATTATACCCAGGCAAATTAATAACAGCCTCAGATGAGGAACGAGTTAACCATGTCTCTGTGAGTCCCAGAAAATCAATATTTGAACCACACAGCAGATATTCTAATTGTTCACGTTTAGGCGTCATACTTCTTATATTGAGATGACCACCAAATAGTCCCTTTGGTTTAGATGAAGGATCCCACACGACTTTAGCCTGATTGAGTGTGCGGAATATTTTGGTGATTTTATGCCGTTTGATGAACGGCTTCCTGCGTTTAGTTGGTAGAGAGTGCATTTGGTCAGTATGGTCATCGACAGTTTGTGTGGGCGAAGTCACACACTCACCAATGCGCAGTCCTTGGTTCTTCCCGCTGTCGTGTGGCCTCTCCAATGAACCCGTAGACAACGGACCAGGGCCAGGACTAGGACTAGGACTAGGACCAGGACCAGGACCTGGACCAGGACCAGGACCAGGACCGGGACTCAGACCAAAAACAAGACCAAGACCAAGACCAGGACCAGGGTCAAGACCAGGACCCAGACCAAGACTAAGACCAGAACCAAGACCAACACCAACACCAGGACCAAGACCAAGACCAGGATTAAGACCAAGACATGTGTCAAGACCAGGACCAAGACCAGGGTCAAGACCAAGACCAAGACCAAAAACAAGACCATGACCAGGACCAAGACCAGGGCCAGGGCCAAGACCAAGACCAAGACTAAGAAAAAAGAAACAAAGACCAAGACCAGGAACAAGACTAAGGCCAGGACCAGGACCGACCCCTTTTCCAGTTTTCTATCCGACAGATCTCAGTTTGTAACAGACGCAAAATAGACAGGTCTAAGGTCTGGGTCTATGTTGTCTATGGTCTGGGATTGGTCTATGGGCTGGGATTGGTCTATGGTCTGGGTCTACAGTCTGGGATAGGTCTATGGTTTGGGTGACGGAGGTGAAATGAGAGAGCAGTGAAACTACAGAGTGTGAGGAGCAGATTGTGTGACGGGACCGTGATGACACAGGGGTACTGGGGGCGGCTTGTTTTTCCAAGGTCACACACACACACACATACACACACACACACACACACACACACACACACACACACGCACGCACGCACACACACACCCGCACACACACAGACACATACACACACACACACGTACACGCACACACACACGCACACACACACACACACACACACACATGAACACACAAAACTAAAGAAGCAAGTGTAAAATAGTGCACAGTTATTACACAGTTATTATACATAACTGTGTAATAACTGTGTAATAATGTAAATTGTATATTTGTGAATATAACCTGTTCACTGGTGCACCATCGTTCATTCAGACACTTATTGTCTGTTTATACCGTTATGAACTCGGAAGGATCAAAACAAATACATAATTATGCACTTTTCTGATTAGAATTGTGAAGTTTCTATGAACTGAACCAAAACTGAACCAAAACTGAACCAAATATTGAAGGTATATGGGAAGACTATTGGTCCTCCCAACTGTCAATCATTCTGGTGATTCGTGCTCGTCAAAAAAGACCAGAGATATTTGTTCAAAAAGTGGAGAGGGCGGTTCTTTCCTAAGAAAATTGGCAAATCGTCCTTTATATCTTTAAGAAATGTAATTGAAGACGTGTAAAAAGCAAAACATAACAATACTAACTTCTTATTACATGTTGGCTTAACATTTCTTATGGAATTAAATATTATGGTTGTTTTCTTGGTAAAAATAGTAATAATAACATGCCATTGTCGCCTATTATCATCAAGGCTGCTATTTAATATAATCATTTTAAATCATCTCAGGGGCCACTGAAAATGGTCTCGCGGCCGGATCTAGCCCCCGGGCCTTGACTTTGACAGCTGTGGACTAGAAGGACTGTGATGACCCAGGACACTTTAACATTCTACATGTATGACATTTATAACACGTGTTCTTTATGTGTGTTAACTGTTGATTCTCTGATCTGTGGTGATTTCAATGGTTTTGTTAAGTCTCTGAGATGATGCTGTTGTTATTCAGGGAAATACAAGAATAAATTGTATGTTATTGTATTGTGTATAAATATATAGCTGTATGTACTTCCTGTATTTACATGTGAACTTCTTCTTTCAGAGTATTTCCACGAGCTGTTATCAGTCCAAACAGAGCACTTTACTGATCTTGCCGTTGTGCTTTTAACCTTGTTTGATTTCTGTACATGTCTGGTGCACACTGTGGCCTTTTGCGGATGTATTCCAATGGGGTTTTACTGCAAATGGCAAAGAAATTAATTTGAATCTGTACTTGTTACGGTTCTGAACGCCTCGGCTTTGGCTCGTTCTGATCCGTGACATATTTTTGATAATGATTTAAAGATCTGCGGCGTCTCTGGGTCGAGGAGGTTTAGAAAGTTGTGGCCTGGAAACTCCTCAAGCCACAGTCACATCTGGAAACGACGACGACGACGACGACGACGACGACGACGACGACGACGACGACGACGACGACGACAACGACGACGACGGCGACGACGACGACGACGACGACAACGACGACAACGACACAACAACAATAACACAGACGACGCTGTTTCTCGTTCAGCTGTGACTGTAAAAACATATATTTAGGTCTATTTATTTAAAGCTGGGTTACCTAACTTTCAAACCACCAAAAACCCCTAAAATCCATGTTATGTATATACACAGAGAAAGACTGAAAGATCAGAGAGACCAGAGAGAGACCAGAAAGAGACCGGAGAGAGACCCGAGAGAGACTAGAGAGAGACCAGAGAGAGACCCGAGAGAGACTAGAGAGAGACCGGAGAGAGACCCGAGAGAGACTAGAGAGAGACCAGAGAGAGACCGGAGAGAGACCCGAAAGAGACCGGAGAGAGACCCGAGAGAGACTAGAGAGAGACCAGAGAGAGACCCGAGAGAGACCCGAGAGAGACCAGAGAGAGACTAGAGAGAGACTAGAGAGAGTCAGAGAGAGAGACTAGAGAGAGACTAGAGAGAGTCAGAGAGAGAGACTAGAGAGAGACTAGAGAGAGACGAGAGAGAGACCAGAGAGAGGTCTTCGAATCATTCCTTCTTGAGATCCTGAAATTCCAATCATTTCGTTGCCAAATTTCCACCAAAATGTTCCTGTTATTGTTCTAAAAACATATTCTGTGGTCTCCTGCTGGGACTCTGAGGAGCACAGGGACTGGCCTCCTGCTGGGACTCTGAGGAGCACAGGAACTGGTCTTCTGCTGGGACTCTGAGGAGCACAGGGACTGGCCTCCTGCTGGGACTCTGAGGAGCACAGGGACTGGCCTCCTGCTGGGACTCTGAGGAGCACAGGGACTGGCCTCCTGCTGGGACTCTGAGGAGCACAGGGACTGACCTCCTGCTGGGACTCTGAGGAGCACAGGGACTGGCCTCCTGCTGGGACTCTGAGGAGCACAGGGACTGGCCTCCTGCTGGGACTCTGAGGAGCACAGGGACTGGTCTTCTGCTGGGACTCTGAGGAGCACAGGGACTGGCCTCCTGCTGGGACTCTGAGGAGCACAGGGACTGGCCTCCTGCTGGGACTCTGAGGAGCACAGGGACTGGCCTCCTGCTGGGACTCTGAGGAGCACAGGGACTGGCCTCCTGCTGGGACTCTGAGGAGCACAGGGATTGGTCTCCTGCTGGGACTCTGAGGAGCACAGGGATTGGTCTCCTGCTGGGACTTTATTAAAGAAATCAGAATGAACAGTTTGAAAGTGGATCCGGTTCAGAACCAGAGACTAAAAGGTTCTGATGAGTTTATTTTCATTTTTTTCGACTCTCAGAGATTCACAAACTGCTGTGTTTCTGTCATGTCCTGTTTCCATGGAGACCCCAAAGTTCTGTGGTATTTTAAGGCAAAACAATAACATCTCCATTGAGAATAGGATCAGAACCTCCCACTCAAAATCTATAGTCCTGGTTCAGTCCTGGTCCAGTCCTGGTTTAGTCCTGGTTCTGTCCTGGCTCAGTCCTGGTTCTGTCCTGGCTTCCTCTCTGGTCCTAGTTCTTCCATGGTCCAGTCCTGGTTCTGTCCAGATCTCTGTTCTGGCTCTGGTCCAGTCCTGGTCCAGTCCTGGTTCAGTCCACACACACTCAGATACACAAACATACATACACACTTAGAAACACACATACACACTTAGGTACAGACATAGACACACACTCAGATACACAAACATACACACACAGACATACACACTTAGAAACACACATACACACTTAGGTACACACATAGACACACACTCAGATACACAAACATACACACTTCAGTCTCTGCTTCAGTCTCTGCTTCAGTCTCTGCCTCAGTCTCTGCTTCAGTCTCTGCATCAGTCTCTGCTTCAGTCTCTGCATCAGTCTCTGCATCAGTCTCTGCTTCAGTCTCTGCTTCAGTCTCTGCTTCAGTCTCTGCATCAGTCTCTGCTTCAGTCTCTGCATCAGTCTCTGCATCAGTCTCTGCGTCAGTCTCTGCTTCAGTCTCTGCATCAGTCTCTGCTTCAGTCTCTGCATCAGTCTCTGTCTCTGCTTCAGTCTCTGCTCAGTCTCTGCTTCAGTCTCTGCCTCAGTCTCTGCTTCAGTCTCTGCTTCAGTCTCTGCTTCAGTCTCTGCTTCAGTCTCTGCATCAGTCTCTGCTTCAGTCTCTGCATCAGTCTCTGCATCAGTCTCTGCTTCTGTCTCTGCTTCAGTCTCTGTCTCTGCATCAGTCTCTGCTTCAGTCTCTGCTTCAGTCTCTGCTTCAGTCTCTGCATCAGTCTCTGCTTCAGTCTCTGCACCAGTCTCTGCTTCTGTCTCTGCTTCAGTCTCTGCATCAGTCTCTGTCTCTGCTTCAGTCTCTGCCTCAGTCTCTGCTTCAGTCTCTGCTTCAGTCTCTGCTTCAGTCTCTGCATCAGTCTCTGCTTCAGTCTCTGCATCAGTCTCTGCATCAGTCTCTGCTTCTGTCTCTGCTTCAGTCTCTGTCTCTGCATCAGTCTCTGCTTCAGTCTCTGCTTCAGTCTCTGCTTCAGTCTCTGCTTCAGTCTCTGCTTCAGTCTCTGCATCAGTCTCTGCTTCAGTCTCTGCATCAGTCTCTGCATCAGTCTCTGCTTCTGTCTCTGCTTCAGTCTCTGTCTCTGCATCAGTCTCTGCTTCAGTCTCTGCTTCAGTCTCTGCTTCAGTCTCTGTCTCTGCTTCAGTCTCTGCATCAGTCTCTGCTTCAGTCTCTGCTTTAGTCTCTGCATCAGTCTCTGCTTCAGTCTCTGCTTCAGTCTCTGCATCAGTCTCTGCATCAGTCTCTGTCTCTGCGTCAGTCTCTGCTTCAGTCTCTGCATCAGTCTCTGCTTCAGTCTCTGCATCCGTCTCTGCATCAGTCTCTGCTTCAGTCTCTGCTTCAGTCTCTGCTTCAGTCTCTGCTTCAGTCTCTGCTTCAGTCTCTGCATCAGTCTCTGCTTCAGTCTCTGCTTCAGTCTCTGCATCAGTCTCTGTCTCTGCTTCAGTCTCTGCTTCAGTCTCTGCATCAGTCTCTGCTTCAGTCTCTTCTTTATTCTCTGCATCAGTCTCTGCTTCAGTCTCTGCATCAGTCTCTGTCTCTGCATCAGTCTCTGCATCAGTCTCTGTCTCTGCCTCAGTCTCTGCTTCAGTCTCTGCATCAGTCTCTGCATCAGTCTCTGCTTCTGTCTCTGCTTCAGTCTCTGTTTCTGCATCAGTCTCTGCTTCAGTCTCTGCTTCAGTCTCTGCATCAGTCTCTGTCTCTGCTTCAGTCTCTGCTTCAGTCTCTGCATCAGTCTCTGCTTCAGTCTCTGCTTTAGTCTCTGCATCAGTCTCTGCTTCAGTCTCTGCTTCAGTCTCTGCATCAGTCTCTGCATCAGTCTCTGTGTCAGTCTCTGCTTCAGTCTCTGCATCAGTCTCTGCTTCAGTCTCTGCTTCAGTCTCTGCTTTAGTCTCTGCATCAGTCTCTGCTTCAGTCTCTGCTTCAGTCTCTGCATCAGTCTCTGTCTCTGCTTCAGTCTCTGCATCAGTCTCTGCATCAGTCTCTGTCTCTGCCTCAGTCTCTGCTTCAGTCTCTGCTTCAGTCTCTGCTTCAGTCTCTGCTTCAGTCTCTGTCTCTGCATCAGTCTCTGCATCAGTCTCTGCTTCAGTCTCTGCATCAGTCTCTGCTTCAGTCTCTGCTTCAGTCTCTGCGTCAGTCTCTGCATCAGTCTCTGCTTCAGTCTGTTTCTGCATCAGTCTCTGCTTCAGTCTCTGTTTCTGCATCAGTCTCTGCTTCAGTCTCTGCTTTAGTCTCTGCTTCAGTCTCTGTTTCTGCATCAGTCTCTGCTTCAGTCTCTGCTTTAGTCTCTGCTTCAGTCTCTGCATCAGTCTCTGTCTCTGCATCAGTCTCTGCTTCAGTCTCTGCTTCAGTCTCTGCCTCAGTCTCTGCTTCAGTCTCTGCATCAGTCTCTGCTTCAGTCTCTGTTTCTGCATCAGTCTCTGCTTCAGTCTCTGCTTTAGTCTCTGCATCAGTCTCTGCTTCAGTCTCTGCATCAGTCTCTGCATCAGTCTCTGCTTCAGTCTCTGTTTCTGCATCAGTCTCTGCTTCAGTCTCTGCATCAGTCTCTGCTTCAGTCTCTGCTTCAGTCTCTGCATCAGTCTCTGCTTCAGTCTCTGCTTTAGTCTCTGCATCAGTCTCTGCTTCAGTCTCTGCTTCAGTCTCTTCATCAGTCTCTGCATCAGTCTCTGTCTGCGTCAGTCTCTGCTTCAGTCTCTGCATCAGTCTCTGCTTCAGTCTCTGCTTCAGTCTCTGCTTCAGTCTCTGCTTTAGTCTCTGCATCAGTCTCTGCTTCAGTCTCTGCTTCAGTCTCTGCATCAGTCTCTGTCTCTGCTTCAGTCTCTGCATCAGTCTCTGCATCAGTCTCTGTCTCTGCGTCAGTCTCTGCATCAGTCTCTGCATCAGTCTCTGCATCAGTCTCTGCTTCAGTCTCTGCATCAGTCTCTGCTTCAGTCTCTGCTTCAGTCTCTGCATCAGTCTCTGCATCAGTCTCTGCTTCAGTCTCTGTTTCTGCATCAGTCTCTGTTTCTGCATCAGTCTCTGCTTTAGTCTCTGCTTCAGTCTCTGCATCAGTCTCTGTCTCTGCATCAGTCTCTGCTTCAGTCTCTGCTTCAGTCTCTGCTTCAGTCTCTGCCTCAGTCTCTGCTTCAGTCTCTGCATCAGTCTCTGCTTCAGTCTCTGTTTCTGCATCAGTCTCTGCTTTAGTCTCTGCATCAGTCTCTGCTTCAGTCTCTGCATCAGTCTCTGCATCAGTCTCTGCTTCAGTCTCTGTTTCTGCATCAGTCTCTGCTTCAGTCTCTGCATCAGTCTCTGCTTCAGTCTCTGCTTTAGTCTCTGCATCAGTCTCTGCATCAGTCTCTGCTTCAGTCTCTGCATCAGTCTCTGTCTCTGCGTCAGTCTCTGCATCAGTCTCTGCTCCAGTCTCTGCTTCAGTCTCTGCTTCAGTCTCTGCTTCAGTCTCTGCTTCAGTCTCTGCTTCAGTCTCTGCTTCAGTCTCTGCATCAGTCTCTGCTTCAATCTCTGCATCAGTCTCTGCCTCAGTCTCTGCATGAGTCTCTCTGCAAGCAAGACGGTCCTATGTTCGAAACCCGGTCGGAACAGGGCCTTTCTGAGTGGAGTTTGCATGTTCTACCCGTGTCTGCGTGGGTTTCCTCCAGGTGCTCCTGTTTCCCTATACCACTAAATCGGTCAACCACTTAGTTTTAGGCACTTTTTACCATAAAAACTGAATCTCAACCATTTGATAAAGGTCTTTAAAAATAATAATAATAAAAAATAATACTTTTTTGTTGGATCTTAGAAAAACCAAAAAAGAAAACAGGACATTATTTGTTCAAGGAGTGAATATCAAAGGGTTAAGTTCTAATTAACTCAAATTAATATTAAAAATAACACTGAATTTTAACATTTATTAATTTACATTTGATCATTTTTTGCAGTGTTCTTTCTCTTTTCCGATGCGAAGGTCAAACAGAGGATCCCATTTTGAGACAAGAGGGAGCCACTCATTTTGGGGCTTGGCTTCAGGGGTCTCTCTCTCCCTCCCTCCCTCCCCTCCTCCTCTGCAGTTTGGATGGATCGACCCTGGCTCCGTGGGGATGTGCTGGCCCATCCACACGCAGCCAATGATTTTAGGCCCAATTATTTATTCTGGTCTCCACCCCGGATCACGAGACCTTTCCCAGCAGCACCCGCCAGTAACGTGAGATTCTGCCGCTACTCCACTACACACCGTTTGATTGGTCAGGAAGGAAGGAGTGTCCTGGATCCAACTGAAACCAAGCCCAAAATGTTGACTTTTACAATAATATAGACTCAGTAAAACACACACAGATGGACCATAGAACCAATACGTCTCAGTGCATTTAAGGGAATATAGGTATTGGCAAGAATGAAGAGTATAGACATAGAAAGAGCATTTGTTTTTTTACAGTAATATCTTCTAATGTTAAGAAAAATCAGAAAATATGGCTTTTCCAAGAGACTAGACCAGACATAGCAGCGATACTAAACTTCCGCCTGGGATTCAAATCAAACTTATTGACTATTCTGGGTAAGATCTGCTCCACATATGATAGTGTGGCGATAGTAATCAAACAGATGCAGTGTAAAACAGTCCAAACGCATGAGCAGATGACCCGTGGGATGCCTTGGTGGGCAGCAGAAGCCACGTCACTCCTATCCTCTTCATAGCAACAGTACAATTGACCTACATGGCTTTTAACGCACTCTACCCACTCCGCCTGAGGTGATCCCGAACTACCCCTGGATCTATACGGGGCCGTGGGCTTGTCCTGCGTGCGCAATTTGACGTAAACTTCACCCCATTTCTGTGCGTACGACGTGCCATAAGAGATTAGAGATTAGATAACCAGCGGGACCCGTGCGTAAAAATTAAACTCCAGACAAAGTGGTTCGTTTGCGGACGTCGCGCGCTATTTTTATTGAGTTGAAGAAAGAAAAACACACGATACAATGTTAAAACTCTTCCAAAGGGTATCCATGGTGACGGTGGAAGCCTGTAACAAAGTCCCAGATGTGGAGGAAATCACCTGCAAAACCGCGCGTAAAATGGAGCTGGTTTGAGGCTTGGTTTTTCTCTCTTCTCGCTTCTCGGAGCTCAGACACCAGCACTAGCAAGGCAGTAGCTTGCGCAGTCATCTCCATAGCGGGCAGAGTCACAACCCAACCAACAGCACAAACTACTACCTCAGCCAGTGCGTGGGTAAACGGCAGCCAGACCCCCCGGAGGATCTCCAATAAGACGCCCAGAGAAGAGAGCCCTCGCCCCGGTATGCATCCACACATTCCCTCGCAGCCCGAATGCGCGTCGCTGCCTTGGCTGTGCTCTTCTTTCTGGGCAGACTGAGGAGAGATATGCCCCTCCCAAAGCGGACTCCCTCTCCTCTCCTCTCCTCCCTCTCTCTCTCCCTTCTCCTCCCCTCTCCGCTCTCTCCCAGGCGGATCCGACGCGTCTCATCTTCCAAATTCGCATTTCTTTAACCCCATTCCCCCGATTTGACCCAAACCAGCGTCTGAAGATGGTTGTGTAACTATACGACGCAGACGAGGAGGGTTTGGGGAGAGACAGCAGAGGGGCATGGCACGCGCTATTACGCACACGCACCGTCAAAGCTCGTGTGATTAACAGGCACTTTTGACACGGAACCAGCACCGAGACGACCCCCGATAGAAGACCTTAAAGGGGATGTTATGTGCTGATGTAGAGCCATGTATGTCAGATTCTAATATGATTTTTATGTAATGGAACAGACTCCAGCAGAATTTGGGACCAGAACAAGACTAAACCTGGACTAGAACAAGACTAAACCAGGACCAGAACAAGACTAAACCAGGACTAGAACAAGACTAAACCAGGGCTGTGTGAGAAATACTGCATGAAAAGGCATAATCTTGACTTTTTTTACTTAGATATAATAACACTGACTTATATTTTAATGTATTGAGACAAAAGCCCTGTTTCCACCAGTCTTACCCTACTCTTAGTGTAGGGCCAAGCAGGGCCGGTGGAAACAGGGCTATAGCTTGATGATAGCCAATGTACTGCACATATTTTCGAAAATGGAAGAAACTAGAACATTTGATATATTTCTGTGATTTAGTGATCAATATAATTTGGATCAAGAAAGGAATTTTTTTTAGGTTGTGTGTCTTGCTGAAGGACACAACAGCAGTATTAGCAACGGACCTGAAATAGTCTTATAAAAGTTAAAGGTTTTGAATAAATCAGACACAGAAAATCAAGAAAGAGCTGAGTCACCATTTGACGCTCGACTGTTTTGAGTTTGGAAATAGTCCCATGAATTTGATCACAACATTCTCCAGCTTTAAACATTTTCATCACAGTCCAAAACACGCATTCCATATTTATATATTCTCAAGATTTTATGATTTTTAGCTCAATACGAGGCAGGGGAAGCCTCAGTCCTGGATCTACAGCCCCAGTCCTGGATCTACAGCCTCAGTCCTGGGTCTACAGCCTCAGTCCTGGGTCTACAGCCTCAGTCCTGGATCTACAGCCTCAGTCCTGGGTCTACAGCCTCAGACCTGGATCTACAGCCTCAGTCCTGGATCTACAGCCCCGGTCCTGGGTCTACAGCCTCGGTCCTGGGTCTACAGCCCCGGTCCTGGGTCTACAGCCTCGGTCCTGGGTCTACAGCCTCGGTCCTGGATCTACAGTCCTGGGTCTACAGCCTCAATCCTGGGTCTACAGCCTCGGTCCTGGGTCTACAGCCCCGGTCCTGGATCTACAGCCCCGGTCCTGGGTCTACAGCCTCGGTCCTGGGTCTACAGCCTCGGTCCTGGGTCTACAGCCTCGGTCCTGGATCTACAGTCCTGGGTCTACAGCCTCAATCCTGGGTCTACAGCCTCGGTCCTGGATCTACAGCCTCAGTCCTGGATCTACAGCCTCAGTCCTGAGTCTACAGCCTCAGTCCTGGATCTACAGCCTCAGTCCTGGTCTTCCCGCTCCCGTTGCATTCACCGTGCTTGAACTTAACCACTTATTGTTGATGAATCCATAACTTTGTAAAAACTCTCGGAGAAGTCCTGCTGTTGTGATCGAAGGCGCGACACAAATAAATTGAACTGATATAGGTCTGATGGTTGAAACTGTCGTGTTTATTCAAAGACAGGTACATCCTTCTCAAACGGCTGAAAATGAGGTGGAATGTTACAGTACAATTCATTAAGATCAAATTATAATTTTTTATTTTTCTTATCATTTTCAATTTCAAGCATTTTTTATTTTTACCCTTCACTGTATTTAAACCCAAAGGAGGAGGAAGTACACAGCTCTTTCTCCCCCAAAACCCTTGCGTTGGGAAAAGCCGGTCTGTGAAGAGAACGGAGAAGTCAAAACCAAGTCCACAAATGTGTTTTTCTCGATCTCTCTCTGTTCGGTTTCTGGAGGTGAGTTCAAAATGTCTGTGCACTTGTGGAGTTTGTGGATCACATTCAAGATTTCTTCATCAATAAAAAAAGTAAATTATAATATTTAAATTGAGGCGGCGGCAGCGGCGGCGTCACGACTCTCCGTTCTGGACTCTGGAGGCCGGGGGCTGCATAAAGTCTTTGAAAGGCCCCAGAGCTTCTTTGAGGGCGGAGCTAACTTCAGTCGACGAACACGTGATGCATTCGACCAGCGTGGGATAGAGACCGATGACCTGCGCCCACGTGTTCCCGTCCACTGCGGAGGCAAACACACGGTTAGAGCCAGAGAACAACTGACCGACCGTCCACTGCGGAGGCAAACACACGGTTGCGGCTACAGTGTTGCAGCTACAGTGTTGCAGCTACAGTGTTGCAGCTACAGTGTTGCAGCTACAGTGTTGCAGCTACAGTGTTGAATCTACAGTGTTGAAGCTACAGTGTTGCAGCTACAGTGTTGCAGCTACAGTGTTGCAGCTACAGTGTTGCAGCTACAGTGTTGAAGCTACAGTGTTGAAGCTACAGTGTTGCAGCTACAGTGTTGCAGCTACAGTGTTGCAGCTACAGTGTTACAGCTACAGTGTTGCAGCTACAGTGTTACAGCTACAGTGTTACAGCTACAGTGTTGCAGCTACAGTGTTGAAGCTACAGTGTTACAGCTACAGTGTTGCAGCTACAGTGTTACAGCTACAGTGTTACAGCTACAGTGTTGCAGCTACAGTGTTGAAGCTACAGTGTTACAGCTACAGTGTTGCAGCTACAGTGTTACAGCTACAGTGTTACAGCTACAGTGTTGAAGCTACAGTGTTGAAGCTACAGTGTTGAAGCTACAGTGTTGCAGCTACAGTGTTACAGCTACAGTGTTGCAGCTACAGTGTTACAGCTACAGTGTTGCAGCTACAGTGTTACAGCTACAGTGTTGCAGCTACAGTGTTACAGCTACAGTGTTGCAGCTAGTGTTACAGCTACAGTTACAGCTACAGTGCTGCAGCTACAGTGTTACAGCTACAGTGTTGCAGCTACAGTGTTGCAGCTACAGTGTTGCAGCTACAGTTACAGCTACAGTGCTGCAGCTACAGTGTTACAGCTACAGTACAGTGTTGCAGCTACAGTGTTGAAGCTACAGTGTTGCAGCTATATTGTTGCAGCTACAGTGTTGAAGCTACAGTGTTGCAGCTACAGTGTTGAAGCTACAGTGTTGCAGCTACAGTGTTACAGCTACAGTGTTGAAGCTACAGTGTTGCAGCTACAGTGTTACAGCTTCAGTACAGTGTTGCAGCTACAGTGTTGCAGCTACAGTGTTACAGCTACAGTGTTGCAGCTACAGTGTTGCAGCTACAGTGTTGCAGCTACAGTGTTGCAGCTACAGTGTTGAAGCTACAGTGTTGCAGCTACAGTGTTACAGCTACAGTGTTGAAGCTACAGTGTTACAGCTACAGTGTTACAGCTACAGTGTTGCAGCTACAGTGTTGAAGCTACAGTGTTGCAGCTACAGTGTTGAAGCTACAGTGTTGCAGCTACAGTGTTACAGCTACAGTACAGTGTTGCAGCTACAGTGTTACAGCTACAGTACAGTGTTGCAGCTACAGTAAGTAAGTAAGTAGTAAGTAAGTAAGTTTTTATTTATATACCGCCTTTTCAGTGTTACAGCTACAGTGTTACAGCTACAGTGTTACAGCTACAGTGTTGCAGCTACAGTGTTACAGCTACAGTGTTACAGCTACAGTGTTGCAGCTACAGTGTTACAGCTACAGTGTTGAAGCTACAGTGTTGCAGCTACAGTGTTGCAGCTACAGTGTTGCAGCTACAGTGTTACAGCTACAGTGTTGCAGCTACAGTGTTACAGCTACAGTGTTGCAGCTACAGTGTTGCAGCTACAGTGTTGCAGCTACAGTGTTGAAGCTACAGTGTTGCAGCTACAGTGTTGAAGCTACAGTGTTGCAGCTACAGTGTTACAGCTACAGTACAGTGTTGCAGCTACAGTGTTACAGCTACAGTACAGTGTTGCAGCTACAGTGTTACAGCTACAGTACAGTGTTGCAGCTACAGTGTTACAGATACAGTGTTACAGCTACAGTGTTACAGCTACAGTGTTGCAGCTACAGTGTTACAGCTACAGTGTTGCAGCTACAGTGTGGCAGCTACAGTGTTACAGCTACAGTGTTGAAGCTATAGTGTTGCAGCTACAGTGTTACAGCTACAGTACAGTGTTGCAGCTACAGTGTTGCAGCTACAGTGTTGCAGCTACTGTACAGTGTTGCAGCTACAGTGTTGCAGCTACAGTGTTGCAGCTACAGTGTTACAGCTACAGTGTTGCAGCTACAGTGTTGCAGCTACAGTGTTGCAGCTACAGTGTTGCAGCTACAGTGTTGCAGCTACAGTGTTACAGCTACAGTGTTACAGCTACAGTGTTACAGCTACAGTGTTACAGCTACAGTGTTACAGCTACAGTGTTACAGCTACAGTGTTGCAGCTACAGTGTTGCAGCTACAGTGTTGCAGCTACAGTGTTGCAGCTACAGTGTTGCAGCTACAGTGTTACAGCTACAGTGTTACAGCTACAGTGTTACAGCTACAGTGTTACAGCTACAGTGTTGCAGCTACAGTGTTACAGCTACAGTGTGCGCGGTGTCACCAAAAGCTCTGGTTCATTTTCTCACTGTGTTTGTAATAAATGTATTTGAACTTTGTGCTCTGACTGAAGTGTTTCATAAAAACAGATCCAAAAGCAATATTTTGTTTGTACCTGTTTTAGTTTAAGCTTTAGACACAATAAAACAAAACCAACTCAAAGAGAGAGAACAGAGACTAAAGAGAGAGACCTGAGACTAAAGAGAGAGAGACCTGAGACTAAAGAGAGAGACCTGAGACTAAAGAGAGAGAGACCTGAGACTAAAGAGAGAGACCTGAGACTAAAGAGAGAGAGACCTGAGACTAAAGAGAGAGACCTGAGACTAAAGAGAGAGAGACCTGAGACTAAAGAGAGAGACCTGAGACTAAAGAGAGAGACCTGAGACTAAAGAGAGAGAGACCTGAGACTAAAGAGAGAGACCTGAGACTAAAGAGAGAGAGACCTGAGACTAAAGAGAGAGACCTGAGACTAAAGAGAGAGACCTGAGACTAAAGAGAGAGACCTGAGACTAAAGAGAGACCTGAGACTAAAGAGAGAGAGACCTGAGACTAAAAAGAGAGAGACCAGAGTGTGAGAGACCAGAAACTAAAGAAAGAGAGACGAGAGAGAGAGACTAGAGAACAGAGAGAGAGACGTGGAAAAGCAGCGGCTCTACTCCAAGCTCCTCCCATGTGACTGAGCTCCTGTATCTCTGAGGGAGCTCCACTCTGCAGAGGAGACTCATGTGTTGCTTTTATTCATGATCTTGTCTATTCTGTCATTACCCAAAGATCAGAGGTGAGGTAGAGCTCTGACTACAGACGCTGCTCCCTCAGGATCAGAGGTGAGACTGAGCAGTGAATCCAGATCTTTAAACTCAGTCAAACTAATTCAATGCAGTATTTGACCCTGTTCAGACGTGAACAGCTGGTCTCTCTCAGGTCGTTAGTGGTAATGAATGTATATGAAGCAAATGGGTTCTTTCTCCTGCTCCTCTTTACTTTGATTCATCGGAATAATAACCTACCATTCTCAGGCTGTGTCTTCTTTAGGGAGTCCATCAAAGTGCTGATTGCTTTCAAAACAAATATAATCTCTGTGACTTGTTGCCTGGAAGAAAGAAAAAGCAGAACAATTTATAGGCGTAATAATAAATGAGTTACATTACGATCAAAACAAGATTTATAGACAGTAATTAAGCCTTGCTATGGCTTTGTAATTACCATTTTCCCACAAGCGTTTCTGCCTAATGTCTAATGGTCCTATTGAGAATCATTGCCCTGACATAAATAATGCAGTGTTCCTGTTCGTTCATATGTCCTCCTCTACTTTCATAGTTTTAAAGGAACAAAGTGGAGCTGATGCAGCCTCTGCAGTGTCCTGGCTGACCAATGTGTGTGACATCACAGCTGATATATATGAGGGTCTCTCTCTCTGTTTGCAGACCCTGTCTGTAGCTGAGGGCCTCATGAGGGCCAGATCCCCCGCCTCTCTCTGACCTCTAATCCCTCCCTCTCCCTCTGGTCTCCCCCTTCTGGTCTCTCGGCTCTCTCTCTGACCTCTGTGTGTGTCTCTCTCTCTCTGCCCTCTCCCACTGATCTCTCTTTCTCTCTGGTCTCTCTCTGCCCTCTCTCTCCTTTCTTTCTCTCTGCTCTCTTTCTGCTCTCTCTATCTCTCTCTGCTCTCCCTATGCTCTCTCTGTTCTCTCTCTCTCTCTCTGGACTCTCTCTCTACTCTGCTCTCTCTCTCTGCTCTGCTCTTTCTCTCTGCTCTGCTCTCTCTCTGTTGTCTCTCCCTCAGCTTTCTCTCTCTCTCTGGTGTCTCTCCCTCAGCTCTCTCTCTCTGCTCTCTCTCTCCCTCTGGTCTCTCTCTTCTGACCTGGGCAGGGGGCAGCGTCCGCTCAGCCTCTCGTCCTCCACGTATCTGCGGAGGACGTCCTGGGACCTCTTGAGCAGCACAGACAGAGCCATGCGGGAGATGTATCCCTCCTGCGGCGTCGACACTTTGTTACTGAAGGAAAACTGCAGCAGCGTCTCGAAGCAGACTTTGGAAAACTCCTCTCGCATCCGCACGTCGATCTCCGCCTCTGAGCACATCACACAGGAAATACTTTATTATTTATTCTATTTCACACATGCAGATATACCAACACAGGGTTCAAAAAGGGACACACAGAGAGAGAGAGAGAGAGACGTACACACACAGAGAAAGAGAGCGAGAGAGAGAGACGCACACACACACAGAGAGAGAGAAAGAGAGAGACACACACACAGAGAAAGAGAGCGAGACACACACAAACACAAAGGATAGAGAGAGAGACACACATACACACAGAGAGAAAGAGAGACACACACATGAACACACAGGGGGAAAGAGAGACGCACACACAGAGAGATAGAGAGACACACACACACACACAAAGAGAGGGACACACACAGAGATACACACACACACACTGAGAAAGACACACACACACACAGTGAAAGACACACACACAGAGAGAGAGAGACACACACACACACACAGAGAGAAAGAGTGCGAGAGACACACACACAAAGGATAGAGACACACATACACACAGAGAGGAAGAGATACACACACATGAACACACACAGGGGAAAGAGAGACGCACACACACAAAGAGAGGGACACACACACACACACACAGAGAGAGAGAGACACACACACAGAGAGAAAGAGTGCGAGAGACACACACACAAAGGGTAGAGACACACAGAGAGGAAGAGATACACACACATGAACACACACAGGGGAAAGGGACGCACACACACAAAGAGACGCACACACACAAAGAGAGGGACACACACACACACACACACACACACACACAGAGAGAGAGAGACACACACACAGACACACACACACACACACAGAGAGAGAGAGACACACACACAGACACACAGAGGAAGACACATGATTTTGCAGATACCTGTGAAGGAGGGAGACTGGGAGTGGATGGATCCTCGGTTCAACATGGCCATGATCTGACCAACAAAGTCTTTGGGGATGAAATTGGCAAACGGTAAAATCTCAGAGCTGATCAACTGAACCACCTGTAGGAGAAGCATAGACTTTTTTTTAGAGATGAAAATGTTTTAAACTTAAAACGGTCTGGTGGCGAGTCTAAAAACATATCAGTCATGCTGCATATGGAGCCCCCTGCTGGAGAAGTCTGGTAACTTTATATTTGGCATGAAACAATTATAATTCTATGAGAGGATTTATTTGCCGTTTTTGCAGCTGTGAGCCATAATCATCGACAACTAGTGCTCGGGGAAAAAAATGTATTCAGTATCGCGATATTTTTCACAAGCAACTAAATCGATACAGTTGAGAAAAGTACTGAGATATTTAATTCAATAATTCTTTGTTTCAGGTTCTTCTTCTCTGAGTTTACTCTGGGGATTCACATTTGCGGTGGCGCTTATCGGCTTCATCACAACCGTTTCCAATGCGTTTTTTGCACTACCTCCTTTAGCTACGTTCACACGCCGACGCTTGAACGACGCTTGAACGCAGCTTCCACAAACACTGGACGCACATTCTCTACATTTCAGCAGCGTGACTTTAGTAAATCTGAAATACTTCCAGAGACTTTATGTAACAGCAGGATGTGTTCACGGAGCTGCGTTGATGTTATTATAAAGTACTTCTGAATCAAAACACGTTAGCTGCACTAGTTTACAGTCACAGAAGAATGAGAAATCAGGCTGGAGGCATAAGCACTGTGTCCACCATTGTCAGTCCTGGTTAGTCCTGGTTTAGTCCTGGTTTAGCCCTGGTTTAGTCCTGGTTTAGCCCTGGTTTAACCCTGGTTTAGCCCTGGTTTAACCCTGGCTTCGGCCTGGTTCTGTCCTGGTTTAGCCCTGGTTTAGCCCTGGTTTTGTCCTGGTTTAGCCTGGTTTAGCCTGGTTTCGTCCTGGTTTCGTCCTGGTTTCGTCCTGGTTTTGTCCTGGTTTCGTCCTGGTTTCGTCCTGGTTTCGTCCTGGTTTAGCCCTGGTTTAGCCCTTGTTTAGCGCTAGTTTAGAGCTAGTTTAGCCCTGGTTTAGCCCTGGTTTAGCCCTGGTTTAACCCTGGCTTCGGCCTGGTTCTGTCCTGGTTTAGCCTGGTTTAGCCCTGGTTTAGCCTTGGTTTTGTCCTGGTTTAGCCCTGGTTTAGCCCTGGTTTTGTCCTGGTTTAGCCCTGGTTTAGCACCAGTTTTGGCTGTTTACAGTATCTTCAGTCTTCGCACTCAGATCGCTAATGTCCATGTGACCACTTTGCAGCTCTCTGATTGGTTGCAGCACTAGTGGCCAGCAAAATAAGTTCAACACGGTTCATCTCCTGCTTTCACCGCATGCATCAAGTTCCCGTACGTTAAGAATCGCAATAATATCGAATTGTTTTGGCCAATCCCAGCCTTATCACAACAGATTAAGGGCTCGTTATGGCTCACTTTGTGTTTAATGAGTTTTTAATCATGCAGAGGTTTCAGATTGTAAGTTAAATCAAAGAAATGAACTTTTGAATGGTATTGGAAAGCCCAGAGTTTCTTTAATTCACCTGCATTCTGTACACAGCCTCAAAGTAGTTTATCTGATGTTGTTTATTGCAGGATAGTTCGACACATAACCTCTGCGACAGACCTTGACCCAGAGACAAGAAAAAAGCAACAGCAAAACTTACTTCTACATCGATGGCTTCGTTCTTTTGAAACTCCTGAATGGAAAGGTTATCTGGAGGAGTGCTGCAGGGACAAAACGGCTGTTAGTGTCTGAGTCTCTGCATCAGGGGTCTCCAACCTCTGACCCCGGAGAGATACGTTTACAGGACTAAAGGCAGTGAGCTCCTCCACACAGCGGAGAGAAAGACCATGTGTGTCATTGGTTCCACTGGTCTATCCTGTTTCGAGACTGTCAAAATGTTCTATAATATATGTACTATTATATTTTGGCCATTTCTTACAATGCAGTCTTTTACCCATAAAATAATCTATCTATCTGTAAGCTTGTGACTCAGTGTTTTTCAACCAGTGGGGCGTGGCATCTTTGTGAGCCTTTGGAAACGATCCATTATCATCCAGTTGGTCAAAATGTATGTGCTTGTTCAAACTAAAGGGTACAAAAGTGTGACAGAAGGAAAAGAATTAGTACTAATCAGAAGAAATGTTTTATGTTTATCCAAATCCCTCTTCAAATTCACTCTTGATGGAAGTCTCATATTTTCAGATCCACATTTGATTCATAGATTTTTTTTTCCTCACACAGAGTAGAAACAACGGGATTACTTTCATACAGGAAAACAAACAAATGTGAAACCAAACGATCATTTAAAAAAAAAAAAAACTTGGTACAAATGCTTCAAGGTTCATTTCAATTTGTGTTGATTATTTTTTTATGTTGTTATGTTGTGTTAATGTTAATCTTGTGGGAGTTCATCTTTGTCACTGAGGACCTTTTATTTTCTATGTCACTGAGTCACCGTTTAATGATCAAATCAGAGGCTCAAAAAATGTCGCCCAAAATGAATTTCTTTTGATTTTATCCACAATATCTGATTGATGAGTCTGTGTATGTATCTTTTATCCAATCTATGGAAGTCATTTTAGTTTTAGAGTTACAACATTTTAAAGTCCAGGTATTTTAATTGACACCTTACTGTCATTTTACTCTCAGTCGTTGATGCAAATGACTTATGCAAAACTGAAACACTGCGGCCTTTCATAACGAAGCACTTTCTGCTGGTGGTGAACCCAGAGATTCTTTTCAATGACAGGGCCTAAAACAGTTTGGTGAACCCTGACTCCGAAAACTATCCTTTTGGGAGCTTTGAAGAGGCTGGCGAGCTACTGGTAACTCCCGAGCTTCAGGTTGGAGCCCCCTGCTCTACATCTGTCCTACATCTACGTCTCTCATGAATCAAGCTTCACCTTTTGGTAAAGAGGAAGTCCTCGAAAGCGTGTGCCAGCTCCGGCCACATGGTCTCGAACTTCCCAGAGGAGGAGTGCTGGCGGGCCACAGGGAGCCCCACGGAGAGGACTCTGAGCAGCGAAGTCACGGCCAGCTTCCATGTGCTCTCTGAGGGACAGGAGTACTTCAAACCCAGGGGCATCCGCAGCGTCTGGGGGAGGAGAGGGAGGTTAGGGTTTTGGGGGTAGGGGGTAATAACGGACGGATCATAGACCAGACTTGAAGAGGAAACTCAAAGATCAAGACCAGATTCAAGAAGCAAAAAGGCCAAGAAGTGACAAGTTATTTTTACTCTACAGCACAAAAATCTGGGAAAAAAATCAGGAAAGCTTTCACTAGTGCAAATAGATTTACAGCCTTGGTCTACAGACTCAGTCCTGGGTCTACAGCCTCAGTCCTGGGTCTACAGCCGCAGTCCTGGATTTACAGCCTCAGTCCTGGATCTACAGCCGCAGTCCTGGATCTACAGCCTCAGTCCTGGATCTACAGCCTCAGTCCTGGATCTACAGCCTCAGTCCTGGATCTACAGCCTCAGTCCTGGATCTACAGTCTCAGTCCTGGATCTACAGTCTCAGTCCTGGATCTACAGCCTCAGTCCTGGATTTACAGCCTCAGTCCTGGATCTACAGTCTCAGTCCTGGGTCTACAGCCGCAGTCCTGGATTTACAGCCTCAGTCCTGGATTTACAGCCTCAGTCCTGGATCTACAGCCTCAGTCCTGGATCTACAGCCTCAGTCCTGGATCTACAGTCTCAGTCCTGGATCTACAGCCTCAGTCCTGGGTCTACAGCCTCAGTCCTGGATCTACAGCCTCAGTCCTGGATCTACAGCCTCAGTCCTGGGTCTACAGCCTCAGTCCTGGATCTACAGCCTCAGTCCTGGATCTACAGCACCAGTCCTGGATCTCTCACCCGACCTGTCCGTCTGTGGGAGTGGATCCCTCTCTCAGTATGAATCTCACCAAGCTTTCTCACTTTTTTGGGTTTATTTGAGCAATCTAAGGACAGTGATGATCCAGGACATTTAAAGACACTTATGAACAAAACGTCTTCAAACCAAGAGACCTACGTAGCGTCTGTTGAGTGAGAATGTCGGTATTTGCTTTGGCATTACGGTGCAATAACAAATGGATAAAAGACCAGACATGAAGTGGAAACTCAAGGCTGACGGTGTGTTCTCAGACTGTTTTTGAATCGCAGACCTCCAGACTGAGTCAAACCTGTGAACGTTTATTTATCCACGGTTTGTGTGCGTCCTTTAACATTGGGGAAGACTGCTTTATGAGACGGGTGCAGAAAGAACTGAAGCTGGAAATTACACAGAGCAGAGACCAGGCCTAAACCTCACTGCAGAATGGATCACATGTTAGACAGGACATTTTAGAATTGAGAAGTTTTGGTTTTGTTTGTATCTCGGTTCAAGTACTTTTAGAAAAAAAAAAAGATTAATTCCTTGTCTCTTAAAAAAAAACAGACTTGCTGCTAAAGCTGATTTTGGCCACAGAAGGCTCCTGATTGGTCAGTTATTAGGGCTTCTATCGCGACAAAAGACAAAAATCTTTCTCTTTGGCCATCCTCTGGTCTCTCCCTCTCTGGTCTCTCTCTGTCTGGTCTCTCTCTCTGGTCTCTCTCTCTGGTCTCTCTCTCTGGTCTCTCTCTCTGGTCTCTCTCTCTGGTCTCTCTCTCTGGTCTCTCTCTCTGGTCTCTCTCTCTGGTCTCCCTCTCTGGTCTCCCTCTCTGGTCTCCCTCTCTCTGGTCTTGCTCCCAGGTGTCTCTCTCTGGTCTCTCTCTCTCTGGTCTTGCTCCCAGGTGTCTCTCTCTGGTCTCTCCCTCTCTGGTCACCTAGGGTCACTCTCTCTGGTCTCTCTGTCTCTGGTCTCCCTCTGGTCTCTGGTCTCTCTCTGGTCTCGCTTCCAGGTCTCTCTCTGGTCTCTCCCTCTCTCGTCACTCTCTTTCTGGTCACTCTCTCTCTGGTCTCTTTCTCTCTCTGGTCTCCCTCTCTCTCTGACCTCTCCCTCTCTGGCCTCTCTCTCTGGTCTCTCTCTCTCTGGTCTCGCCCTCTCTGGTCACCTTGGGTCACTCTCTGGTCTCTCTGTCTCTGGTCTCTCTCTGGTCTCTCTCTGGTCTCGCTCCCAGGTCTCTCTCTCTGGCCTCTCCCTCTCTCGTCACTCTCTCTCTCGTCACTCTCTCTCTCGTCACTCTCTCTCTCGTCACTCTCTCTCTCGTCACTCTCTCTCTCGTCACTCTCTCTCTCGTCACTCTCTCTCTCGTCACTCTCTCTCTGGTCTCTCTCTAGTCTCTAAGCCCATATGATGTGTGACAAAAACGGCTACGGAGCCAGAGGAGTTTACTTTTACATGTAAGTCAACAAAAGCCGAAGCGAGTTGGAGCCAAACTTCGTCCACGAGCACTTCCCTATTGGGCTAAACTGAGCTATAGTCTGGGTTCAATTCACTACAAGTTGCACTGCACAACTTAAAATAGCTATAAAGTTTATTCCAGAAATCAGAAAAACAACTTTTCCCATATTTTTAAGGATTTACGGGATCGTCTTTGAAGCGCAGCAGCTGGAGTCCCAAAGGTCAGCGTTCTCATTTCTTTATAAAAACCTGCCAAACATCTGTGCCGTCCAGAAAGTAAAGACAAGGCTGAGAATCTGTCTGACGTCGTTTTTGAGCAGGCTTAGGTTTGTCTTGCAGATATAACAGAATAACCTGAATAAGCCCAAAGTGAAAGAAATATAAATGTTTTTTTACTAGACTTGGTTGCATCGTGGTCCATGAATCTTATTATACGTTCACGGAGAGGTTGCCAAATGCGCCGCTTCACATCTGCAGCGTTGTAATGGCCCACGTTTAATATTTAAACACCGTCTCTTTGCCAAAAAAGATTTCATACTCAAGGAAGAATGAGAAGAGCTAGCATCATAGCTAACGGACCATACACACACACATTACTGACATATTTAAGTGTTGCTCAAACAGTGAGAGAATGGATTTGGACGTAACAGACCGCAGCGCCAAAAGGTCTGAAGGATGAATCAACTTTAAGAAACTAAACCTGATTTATTTTCCATTGAGTTCATAAAAATGCATATTACAACATTCAAGTCGTATCAAAACCCGTAATTTAATTGACAAATTGAGCTCATCGATTCAACTTGTGTATGAATTCAGGCCATAAAAAGTGCTGAGTAGAAACTTTGCGTGATGCTAGTTCTCCTCCAATCACAGAACGAAGAGCGGTGCTGATGCACACAGGCCACGCCTCCTCTAGCGTTTGCAGGAAAAAACAGAACAGCATAGTAGCAGAAAGTGGCTATACCTCCTCTGGCAGTTAAACAGCTCTTGTACTGGTCACGGGCGGCACGGTGGCTGAGTGGATAGCACTCTCGCCTCTCAGCAAGAAGGTGCTGGGTTCGAATCCCGGTCGGACCAGGGCCTTTCTGAGTGGAGTTTGCATGGAGTTGCGTGGAGTTTGCATGTTCTCCCCGTGTACTCCGGTTTTCCCTACCACTAAAAATATGTACAATAGGTCTGGCATGTGCCTCCTGTACTGGCCCCGCTCCCATCTCTGTGGAGTGAGAGACAAATGCCCAAAATTAACAATTGCAAACCGCTTTGAGACTCAGATTTGCAGTGAAAAGGCAGTATATAAATAAAGACTACTAGAGGTCTCTGATGGTGCTCTTGTACTGGTCCTAAAAGTTTCTGATGGTGCTCTTGTACTGGTCCTACAGGTCTCTGATGGTGCTCTTGTACTGGTCCTACAGGTCTCTGATGGTGCTCTTGTACTGGTCCTAAAAGTCTCTGATGTTGCTCTTGTACTGGTCCTACAGGTCTCTGATGGTGCTCTTGTACTGGTCCTACAGGTCTCTGATGGTGCTCTTGTACTGGTCCTACAGGTCTCTGATGGTGCTCTTGTACTGGTCCTAAAAGTTTCTGATGGTGCTCTTGTACTGGTCCTACAGGTCTCTGATGGTGCTCTTGTACTGGTCCTAAAAGTCTCTGATGTTGCTCTTGTACTGGTCCTACAGGTCTCTGATGGTGCTCTTGTACTGGTCCTACAGGTCTCTGATGGTGCTCTTGTACTGGTCCTACAGGTCTCTGATGGTGCTCTTGTACTGGTCCTAAAAGTCTCTGATGTTGCTCTTGTACTGGTCCTACAGGTCTCTGATGGTGCTCTTGTACTGGTCCTAAAAGTCTCTGATGGTGCTCTTGTACTGGTCCTACAGGTCTCTGATGGTGCTCTTGTACTGGTCCTAAAAGTCTCTGATGTTGCTCTTGTACTGGTCCTACAGGTCTCTGATGGTGCTCTTGTACTGGTCCCTAGAGGTCTCTGATGGTGCTCTTGTACTGGTCCCTAGAGGTCTCTGATGGTGCTCTTGTACTGGTCCTAGATGGTGCTCTGACCTTAGTCTGTTTTGGTCTTTTTAATATCTACTATGGTATATACTGTATATTCTGACTCTGATTCTAAATGTATGTGGTGTATGTAAATGTATGGGCAAAAATAAAGCAGTATATTTTCTTCTCAAACTTGAACCAAATAAATGTCTCCAGGTCAAAAAGACTGATATTTGGGATAAAGTCCTTGTACGTCCGAGCAGAGGACATGTTTTTGCGACGTACACGACTGTAGCTCTACTGCAGAAACAGTACGTAAAGCTTAAGCCACATTTATAGTCATCATCCTTGAGTGTTGCTAATGACAACACCTGCTATGACATCATTAAAAATCGATTTCCACAGAGTTGAATTGGTCCTGGGAGCGCGGCGAGCTCCCATGTGTCATTCTGGTCTTTCATCATTTTGGGCTGGTATCACTTGGAGAATGGGAGGTTTGGCGCTCTTCCCAGCAGCTGTGATGATAATAGACTGTTTACAATGCCTCTCCAGACACTCACAGCTCCACCTCAAAGCTAATATCAATCCATCAAATCTGAAATGTTTCCGACCACGACAAACACACGTCCACCGTCCAACCAGGCAGACACTGGTGATAACGTCAGTGGCGCAGAGTCACAGGAAAGGTCAAAGTGAAGGTGAGAAAATCTAATCTGTTCAGTATTGCCATATTTTGCACTACTTTGCATGTTCAGGGATAACCTTTTTGCTCTACCTTCCAAAGTGTTTGCTTCAGTTCATGTGAAG